GCTGCTCCCCTCAGCAGTGTGCTTCGTCGATCTGCCTGTTCTGCTCCCCACTCTGTCTCTGGTGAAGCCTCTCACCGCCCCTGAGCCTCTAGCCTGTACCCCGGTTCTGTATGTACAAATAAATAAATCTTTAAAAAAAAAAAATGTCTATCACAAATAGTAAATTTGAAGGGATACACAGACAATATTATCCTCAGTAGAGATAAGCTGAAAGCCTTTCCTTTAAGATCAGGAACAAGACAAGGGTGTCCACTATCGCCACTGCTCTTCAACATAACATTGGAAATTCTAGCCAGAGCAGTAAGACAGAAAAAAGAATTACAAGGAATCCAAATAGGGAAAGAAGAAGTAACACTGTCTTTATTTTCAGAGGACATGTTAATTTACATGGAAAACCCTAAAAACTCCACAGAGAAACTAATCAAAGCCATCAACCAGTTTAGCAAGGTAGCAGGATATAAAATCAACACACAGAAGTCATAGGCCTTCCTGTACACAAACAACCAATCAGAAGCAGCAGGAAAAAAGAAATCCTCTTTTCAATTAAAACAAAAAGAATCAAATACCTGGGAGTCAACCTAACAAAAGAGGTAAAAGACCTATACAAAGAACATTACAAAATACTGTTAAAAGAAATACAAAAAGACACCATGAAATGGAAAGACATCTCCTGCTCATGGATCAGGAGAATTAACATCATCAAAGTGGCCATCCTACCAAAAGCGATATACAGATTTAACAGTATCCCAATAAAAGTCTCGATGACATTCTTCAAATAAATGGAAGAAATGCTGATAAGATTCATATGGAACAACAAAAGACCTCGAATAGCCAAAACTCTCATGACTAAGAAGAAAGAGAATGGAGGCATTACAATCCCAAACTTCAAGCTATACTACAAAACCATAATAATCAAAACTGAATGGTACTGGAACAAGAACAGACAAACAGACCAGTGGATTTGGTTAGAAAACCCAGATATAAACCCACAGGTTTATGGGCAGCTAATCTTTGACAAAGGAACAAAGAAGATACAAGGGAACAAAGGAAGTTCAGCAAATGGTGCTGGGAAAACTGGGAAGCAACATGCAATAAAATGAAACTAGATCACTAGCTCACACCATACACAAAAATCAACTCAAAGTGATTAAAGACTTAAACATAAGAACAGAAACCATAAAGTGCCTGGAAGCAAAGATGGGCCAAACACTACACGACATACACTTCAGCGACATCTTTAAAGATACAGCACCCAATTAACGATAGTGAAGGCAAGGATAACTAGATGGGACTACATCAAGTTAAAGAGCTTCTGTACAGCAAAGGAGACATGACAAAAGACAAACAGACATCCCACTGATTGGGAAAAAATTTTCTCACACAAAGCTAGCAATAAAGGATTGATCACAAAGATATAAAAAGAATTGATGAAACTCAACAAAAATAAACAACCCCATCAAAAAATGGGCATAAGATTTCCAAAGAGGAAATATAGATGGCCAACAAGCATATGAAAAAATGTTCAACATCACTCGTAATAAGGGAGATGCAAATTAAAACCACAATGAGATACCACCTCACCCCAGTGAGAATGGCACATCTTCAAACAACTAGCAACAACAAATGTTGGCGAGGATGTGGAGAAAAAGGAACTCTCCTGTACTGCTGGTGGGAATGCAAACTATACAACCACTATGAAAAACTGTTTGGATGTTCCTCAAACTGCTAAACATGGAGCTGCCCTATGACCCAGCAATCCCACTCCTGGGTATCTAACCAAAAGACACAAAAACACTGATTCAAAAAGATACCTACACCCCCATGTTTATTGCTGCTTTATTTACAATTGGAAAGACATGGAAACAGCCCAAATGCCCCAAAATGGATGACTGAATTAAAAAGATGTGGTACATATGCACAATGGAATATTACTCAGCAACCAAAAAATATATAAATAAAAACATGTCGAAATTTTGTAGCAACATGGATGGAAAAGATTGTGCTTAGTGAAAGAAGCCAGAGAGAAAAGGAAAAATACCAGATGGTTTCACTCATAACAGGAGTGTAATGGACCAGGCAAGAAAATAATAAAAGAATGAACAGCTACATACCAGAGATGTTTTATGGGGGGTGGGGTGGGGAATGGGATCAAAAACTGGAGGGAGGGAAATGCACTGGATTATGGTGATGACACATGGGTGATTTGGTGATGGGAAACTGAAGGGAATTATAACTGAGATGGAAAAATGCACAAATTGATGTCAAAATAAACATATTTTAAAAAAATAAAATAAATTACTATCTATGTCAACAACAACAACAACAACAAAAGTTGAAGAGATAATCCAAGCTAGATGGTTAACAAAATCTAATAGCAGTCTCAAGGACAGATTTTGCTTTTTAATTTTCATGCTATAGCTTTAATTTATGTTAGCACAAAAAGATGCAGGCACAAAATAGGATAAGTAAAAAAGAGATAACAGCACTGTATTTTCTTGACACCTGCCTAAACATTTATCAGTAGCTGGGTTCTTCAGAAATCATTACTTTCATACTTTTCACCTATTTGTTCTCATTCCTCCATAATTTCCATAGAACCCCGATTCTTTGTGATATATCTAAACTTTATGATGTGGAGAACTAAGAATTAGAAAAGGAAATACTTGCCAGCTTACACAAAAGAAAAGGAGTTTCTGTGGAGTAACTGATTTTTCTAATGTATTTGATCTTTCATAGTGTTTGGCTGTGGAACTTAAGGAAACAATTTTTTTCCTTAGAGAATGCTACTTCAGTTAAAGGCCTTTTCTATAACTACTGTAGGTTATTAACTTTTCTAATAATGGTTTTAAACATTTAATTACAGTTAGCACCACCAAGTTCAGTATAGCATTAACAGTTTTCGTTGTTTTGTCATATCAACTGCTAGTCCAGAGGACAGTTAGCTAAAATAGAAACTTAAGAATTTATATTCCAATGATGCAGGACTCAAAACAACCACAATTAGTGGAACAAAAAGCTCATTCCGAAGAGGAGGTCAAATGTGGATGTCTGGAAAGTCGATTTCATGTCCCATAATGCACTGCAACAAAGAATTTGATAATGGGCACCTTCTTTTAGGACATTTGAAAAGGTAAGTGTGACCTTCAGAATAGTAGATGCCAAAGATCAAATAAGTTGTAAAGTGATTTCATATAATGAAAGTACAGTGCATCTATACCACTGTGAGTTTTGCTTTATATTCTAAACTTATACTCTTTTGTGCTGTTATGGCATAGTTATTTCTGATTTACATTTCTTAGATTTCCTAGAAGGCTTGATGAAGTCAGATTTCTCTTGTGATATTCTGTCACTAAAAAAGTATAGCCTTTAAGTATATATTTCTTTCCAATATATCTCATAAATTCTAACAGACTTTTTGCATTGATATAAAGCTGGGTCAGTTTTGAGAAATCAGCACATAAATGCTATTTTTTAAAAAAGATTTATTTATGCATACAGAACTGGGGTACAGGCCAGAGGCACAGGTATGGTGAGAGGATTCACCAGAAGCAGAGTGGGGAGCAGAACAGGCAGATCAACGAAGTACACTGCTGAGGAGAGCAGTGGGCAGGTCAGGAGAGGTCTGCCACACCATGTGGATCACCTCTGGGGTGGGGATCAAACTCATGCTGAAGTGGCTTTAGCGTCTTAGTGCTATGCTTTAACTTGCTGCGCCACCAAGGAGGGCCCATGAATGCAAATTTTAAGAGAGACAAAAGCACAGGTACTGGTGTGGCTTAACAAAAACTAACGAGGTATTACAAAATAAATGCTAAAGGCAAACCAAATGTAGGAAAATGAATAGTAAAGATCTATTCTAATTATTTGACCAATCTTATTAATTAACTGAAATTTTGAATCTCCCCTTCTGATTGTGTAAGGCTGGGAATTGAGTGTTTTTCATATGCCTTACTGTACTTAATAAGCTTTACCTTAATAAGAGAGTCATCTAAAGGGAACTTCAGTATTCTACAAGCATCTGGGTAGTAGGTACTATATCTTAACTATTTTTTAAAACCTCTGAGACAGTTTAAAGTGGCCCAAATGTGTTAAATAGTTAAAACAAACATTAAAGGAACTTAAAACCCAGGTATGCTAGAAATTGTGACATAAGATTATTTCAGTAATTCATTCAGAATTTTTTTGTGATTTTTATGGCAAACAACTCAAGAAGGAAAACAAAATATACTTTGTAATTTTCAAAATGGAAGTTTACCAGTTTGGCAAAAAACTGTAAATCTATTTTAGTGGACCTTGAATATATATATATTTAAAGATTTATTTATTTATGCATACAAGATCCTACCTGTAGGCCAGAGGTGCAGGCTGGGGTGGGAGGATTTACCAGAGACAGTGGGGAACAGAACAGGTGGATCTACTGAAATACACTGCTGAGGGAAATAGCAGGTGAGTAGGGAGAGGTCTGTTATGTCATGTGAGTACTCCCTGGCCGGGAATCAAACTTGTGCTATTTGTGGCTACCAGTAGTTTTATAGTGCTGAGACTTGTTTCCTGTGTCACCAGGGAGGCCCAGATTTTGAAACTTCTATGAAATCTTATATGTTACTGTCTAATGGAATTACATGACATATGGGAGCCACTTGCTAATTTCTTGATTATGAAATTATTTAATACTTTAGTAGAAAAGCTTAAGTTCTAAATGAAGACATTTAATTCAGCTCTTACAATGTTGTTTTTTCTAATGTCTCTTTTGTCAAGTAGGTTTGATCACTCTCCATGTGATCCAACAATTACACTACATGGACCTGTCTTCAGTTCCTTTGCTTGTGTAGTATGTAATAAAATTTTTGTTACTCAACAACAATATAGGGAACATCTTTTTGCAAAGGTAAGAATATGTCTTAAGTTAAGAGTAGGCATTCTTTTTTTAGGGAAATATGGAGTTGGGTGTTTTCTTGCTGTTCCTATAATTCCAATCACCAGTGTTATTAATAATGTCAAAATTAACTTTCTATTGATAGTAGGATGGTTTGAAACATTGAATTATTGTGGGCAGGTAACTTGATAAATGAAAGGTGGTAGTCCTTAAGGTTGTCATAGATAACTTCATGTTGCTCTATAAAAATAACTTTGTTGAAGTGCTTAGTCACGTAAAAACCTTATTCTAAGGTTCTGCAATTGCTTGTTGAAATATTGCTTGTTGAAATATTGGAGACCTTTAGTAAATAATTTCTCAATCTGAGCAAGAAGAAATAGTTACAATATTTAAAAGACTATACTATGTAACTCTAATATTAAATCAGGGAATATTAACTGATTCATGATACATACAAGTTCATGTAATACAGAACTCTAATGAATGGTCATCATCTTTAATGACATTACTATTATAAAACATGTCTGTATTTTAAATCTGAAGAATATTTTACTTAATTGGTAGCTATTTTTTAAAAAAAATTTTAAAAAGATTTATTTGTGTATACAGAACTGGGGGACAGGCC